TGATGGCTTCCCATGCACGAGAAGCTGCGTGCTCCCTTGCTCATCATGCAAACCTCACTCTGGGCAACGAAAGCCCCAACCACAGCCATTGACCAACACTGGCAGCAGGCCCCAATGGGGCGTTTTGATTTCTGCTGCCTCCCCATCCCTCAGCCAAAAGCTGAAGGAGGAGCAGAGAGGAACGAACGCGATAAAACAAAATCTCTATAAATTTCTTAACATCCATAAATCAAGCCTACAACTTCGGCACTGCAATTTGCCTTTTCCTTGCAAAGCTGACACTTAGCAGCCGAGCAGGAAAAGAACTTGCAGTCTCATCCATCCTGCTTGTGATCAATAAGATCAGCAATTAATTCTGGAAGCAAGCAGGCAGCGCTGCACTTGGAGCAGGCAGGCAAGACGCTTTCCAGGATTAAACAACACAACGAGCTTGAACTCTGTTACAGAAGGCAACGTACTTATTTACTCTTGACCGCCGGAATAAATAAAACCCTCAGTAAAAATAGGTCAAATCACTGGATCCTCAGTAGTGAAACAATAAGGAGATCTGCAGCTGACAACAGGATCTGAAGCGTGGAAGCTTTCCAATATCAAAGAAGAGCCAGCCAGGCGGCTTACGTATCCCTGCATCGCCTGGCCCTGGTGGGAACCATTGTGTTGAGGTCTATAAACATCCAGGGTTTATCTGGGGCTGCAGAGAGGAAGGCTGAGGAAGGGATGGGGGAACTGCAGGCACTGATTGCCCTCATTCCTCTGCAGGATGCTCAGAGTCCTGCATGGTCCTTGGTGTTCTCCCCTCATATGTCCTCATATGGTCTCAGTTCAAGCACATTCTTGATGCAGTGGAGGGACCACATGCTAAGTAAAGCAGGCCTTTTTCTCAGACATAGTCTTAAAGATATTAGAAGTAATGAAAAGTTAAATGAAACATTAAAAGCCATAAAAATCTTAACAATAAGCGAGGACTCTGAAGCTATTCTCTTTCCTGCACGTGCAAAATTGCTCTTGCTTTAGCTAAGTCCTAGAAAAGGGCCCACCAGCCCTCTGTGCAACTGGGCAATGGGGCTTTGCCCTCATCTTCCATCTTTGCATCTCCAGATGGGAGACCTCTGGGCTTTAGTTGCAGCTCTTTGGAGCAGAACCCATCTTTTCCATCCACAGTTGCACCATACTCAGGGCAGTGAGTCTAGAGTCCAAATCTAGGTTCCCAGATGTAATGATAAGATACATGAGTGCCCAAAGGAACAACAGGAACTTGGGTGCAGCCACCACGCTCAGCACTTACCAACTATTTACGCATACATTTGAAAAAGAAGAAATAACAATGAAAGAATTTTTTTTTTTTTTTTCTTTTGTAAAGGTAAGCACAGAAGAAAAATGTGAAGGAAACATTTGGCAAAACGTGGTGGCCAAGTTCTGCTGAGGGATGCCAAGGAAAATCCAAACAATGGCCTGGGAGGGACCGCAGCGGGGCGGAAGGATAAGGCTGCATTCCCCATGCCACAGGAAGTCTTTGGTTTAATGAGAGCGGGGCTCTTCAGGAGAGGAATCCATCTTGGGTGGTGGGTGATGCATTCTGCTGGACCCAAAGCGTTTCTCCATGGCCCACTTTAGATTCCTGCCCATCATCGTGGCGAGGTTTCATTTTTTTCCATTGTGGTTTGGGCTTTTAATTTGTTTTGGTTTTGGATCCCTGACAACGCGACGTTTGCACGTTAGTTTGCCTGTGCAAGTCTTTACTTGGGTCTCATCCATCATTTTCTGAGTTAAAACATAGCTGCTTGTCAAGAGGAAGTCATTTGTCTCTCACGAGAGAGTCACCACTCCCACCCCCGCCAACCACTCCGGCGCAGTGCAAGCACATCCATTAGCTTCCCTGGAAAATGCATCACCCGACGCCGGGACTGAACTTCAGACTAACAAAACCTCACCGAGGACACGGAGGAGCCATCCCTGTCACTCTGCTCAACGGTCAGGTCAAAGCCCGACCTTTCTTTCCATTAAATCCTTAGCATCTACATTTAAGAGAAAATATTGTGTGTTTTGTGATCAGACCCAACGCCCTGATTTCCAGCCTCCCAAGTAGCCTGTTCATCCTTGGCTCTTTTCAAAGCCTGTCTCCTTCTCCCTGGTCACTCCTCACGAGTGACACAGGAGAGGAAACACCTCTTGCGGGTGGGAGGTTGGAACAACCCTGGAAGAAACCCAGGGAGAAGCTCTGCAGGAAGGACGGAGCCTGAGGGAGCAGCCACTCATGCCAAAGTCACACCAAACACCCATCCACGCACATTTTCTCCAATGTTTAAGCCTATCTTCTACTGTTAGCTCTTCATCCGTGGTCAGAACAGGGGAGTACTCCCCTTATTGCAGACTACTGAAGCCAGAAGGAGCACAAGGGATGATTTTTCCCACCCCAATATCCAAAAAGACGGTGCTGACTCAGTTGGGTCCATCATGTGCAAACACCTCCAACACCTCCCATTCAAACAGGGTCTTCGTGCACTCCTTGGGGCACGACAGGACCAAGGTGCTGCATTTTGGCTGGGAACAATGGTGGAAACCATGCCTCCCCTGGTGGCAACCAAGCTGCTCCATGCAGCAACTATTTCATCTTGTGCTGTGACCAAAGGAGTGAGCCATCAGTGCCCCTTCTGAAGCACAGAAAAACACATGGGGCTTTGCAGCATAGATTTAGATGTTAAGGCAAAGAACCTGGCCAGGTGAGTGCATGCAGTAATCTCCTTGGTTGGGAGCCATCAGGTGCAGCTGAGAGGAGTTATTCACCAAGGGGTTCCAGCATCCAAAAAAAGGACACATCGAAATTCAGGCCTAGGAAGTTGTCTCTCTCTCTAGGAAGTTCCATATCACATCATTTTCATTTTCCAGATCAGCAGAAGAAAAGAATACTAGTCCTATTAAACACCACATCGAATGAATGATGAATCTTGAGTTTCTAAAATTCAACTGGCAAATCCAAATGAGATTACCAAGCCAAAAACAAAAAAAAATAAAACAATAGATAGAAAAAAAAACAACCAACAAAATAAGACTGCTGTAAGTTAAAGGAAGAGAAACTTTCTCCCTCTGTCAGACTAGGAAGTGAATGTAACTTTGTATCATAGGCAATATAATAAATATAAGAAAAACGAAGAAGATGAATGATGAGGCACCATAACAAGCTTCTAAAAGCCCTCATGAAAAATTGGGCATCTTTGAAAGCTCATTCCTGGAGCTTCTACAATGAAGCTGTGAAAGCAAATAGAGCTGAACCCCAGCGAGGTGCTGCTTGGAGACAGGAGTTGTGAAAGATTCAGATTTAAAGACAACGGCTTTATTTTCCTATGGCCTTGAGGGGATTAAGATAGGACAGCAGCACAGCTTCACCAGTGGAGATATAAATCCTAGAGGGTCACTCTGCAGCCATCTGTCAGCTGAAAGGAAGGGAGGAGGCAGGCTCGTTTTCAGTAGTAAATTTTGGGAAGAACGAGCACTAATGGCTTAAAATTAAGAAAGAAAAACACAGGGCTAAATAGTAGGAAATGCTTTATAACGGTGAGGTCAGGCAGACAATGGAGAAACCTGTCAGGGGAGGTCAGGGGCTCTCCAATAAGCAAGAGGTGGGACAGAGGGGGCTCTGCTGGAATGCTCATCTCCATGGGGATGGTTCCCCCCAGTTTGGGCTGACGGAGATCTTTAAGGGAAACGCAGGCTTCTTGCAAGGGGACAACGAGGGTCCAATCCCTTGAAGATGCCCTAAAGACCACATCCAGCCAGGCAAGCCCAGAGCCAGCAAATAATCCAGAGGGATGCACCCAAGCTGTTCCCATTTCCAAAGGAAAACAGCAGCTGTGGAGGAGGTGGGATCATTGGGAGCTGGGGGGGGGGGAAGGAAAAAGGGGCCTTTCAGCAGAGCCCTGCCAAGGGGGTGGGGATGGAGCAGGGGATGCTCCATGCATGCTGGGCTGCTGCAGATGCCTGCATAGGATGGGTTTTCAGGGCTGTCAGGTTGATTTCCTCTCAGCTCCCTGCACAGACACCTGCAGTCTGTTACATGACACGTCATTATATTTCTTAAAACTTATGGTGTCCATCATCACCCCCAGGCAATCACTGCAGAACCGTGATAAATGATACACAGGCAGCTTATTATACACACTAAATCCTCTCCGCTTGGTGGTCCAGAGGTTTACCTAATACATTCTATTCCTCTCCTGCTTGGATTTGCGTCTTGGATCCGTTTGATGCTCTGTAGCAAAAGCTGAATAAATGTGCTAGCTGCCAAACGTGGCTATTTCCTATCATGCCCTACCCAGTGAGAACACAATTAGCACTCTGAGTCTCTTCTGCAAGTCTTTAAAACTTAACTGCATTAGAAATATGAAATAGCAGAGGTTGGGAATGCCATCCTGACAGCTCAGAGCACCAGAAAGCTGCTGGGATGGGACAGCAGCTGGACAGGAAGGCAGGAGGGGCTGCGACAGCCAGCTGAGCTCATAGGTGGCATTTAGGAAAGGCCAGAACTACGCATTCTCATTGGAATTCAACCATTTGGAGGCCAGCACAGTCATTAACAGCGCTTAAAAATTAACATCCTAGCTTCAGGTCTTGCCTGGAAGGCAGTGCAGAAACACATACTCATGTCCTTATGGCTGCCCTCTCCTTGGGGAGTCCCTCCTGCTTTGATATGTTGTCCCAAACACCTCCTGAAGTGCACTGGTGAGGGCAGGAAAGCCTTCCTGAGCTTTACAGTGTCAGTAAGCACTGGTAACACACAGCAGAGGGCACAGCTCAAAGGGATGAAGCTCCTCATGGCTGAAGACAGCAGGAGAAGGAGGTGAGGGTGGTAGGGTTGCTGAGAATGCTGGAGGAGGAGGAAGGCTGAGTTGATGCAGGAGGTCATGGGAAGTCAATAAGAGGAAGCTGAAGGGGGTTAGATGGGATATCAGGGCTGGGTTTGGCCAAACACAGAGCACAGGGGAGAAATAAGCCCTGAGCCCAAGAGGAAATCGCAGAATCACGGATAGAATCATTCAGGTTGGAAGAGACCTCTTAGATCTCCAAGCCCAATCTCAACCAGGGACAACAACCCCACCACCTCCCCGGGCAGCCTGTCCCAAAAGGGCCCTTTTTGTGGGGGATGAGGGTTGAAAAGCAAGCAGGGAACACATTGACCTGGGGGGTTGCAGAGATGGGAAGAGCTCCAAAAGAGCAGCGCAGTCTGCTGGATGGCAGATCAGCTTTTCCTCTTCAAGAATTCTGTTTCTGCTGCGCTCGTGGGGGAGGAGAGTTGGCCTCCAGCTCCAACAGTAACTTTGAGAAACAACTCAGGAAGCAGCTTATTTAGATAGCACTGCCTGTTCTTCTGAGAAAAGAAAAGAAGAACTATTACTGGTTGCTAATGAATGGCTTTTCCACAGCTGATAGTGTTTTTGGGGGGGTGGATCCTCCAAAGTCTCCATATATCTCTGCTAAAGGGGTGGATTTTGCCTCCAAGAAGCACAGCTCATTCATGCACACGCCCCGATAGGACAGAGTTAAACATCTCCTCTGGTTTTAATGGAAAATAAAGCAGGCATGACGCATCTGTTCAGGAGATTTTTTTTTCTTATCTCTGAGATCGAAAAGAATTCCAGAGCTGGAAGACCAGAAACGGAGAGCAGCTCATTCCCTGCCAACTCATGCATGCTGGAGGAGTTCAGGTTGAGCACAAGCTCAGGCTTGGATTCTCTATCTGCTACTCTCGCTGGCTGAAGAAGGAGCAGTTTGGACCTCAATTTCTGCACTGGAGTTCGGGGTAAATAAAAGTCTCAGGCAGAACCCACTGAAGTGGTTTCAATTTGCAGGCTCCAGGCTTCCCAGAAGTTAACTCTTGTAAGATTCAATATACACAGATGTTCCTCGGTTGGATGGGAGAGGGACTCAAGTAGTCAGAGGATCATTGTAACCTTCTGGGTCGAGGATTTCCCTCTAATGGAGCCTGTGAATATGGCACCCAGACTGGAAAAGGCTGAAGAAAGCAGCTCCTAGGAATAAGCAAGATTTCAAGGGAAAAAGGAAAGAAAAAAAGAAAAAAGCAACTTTGAAAACACTGCCAAGTTGAGGCACTCAATTTTTTGCACTGCAGCAATGCGAGCATCCTCTGCTCCTTGCAGCCATATTCTCCTTGCAGTGAGGAGCTGCTGTGTGCAAACAGTGCCCAGGGCACCAGCTGGGTTAAGAGAACAAACTCTTTAAAAAAAAAAAAAATAATAATAAAATTACAGCCACTCTGAAGGAAAGCAAACAAAACTTAATAGCTGCTACCTCATAGCGGTCGGCTCCGTGCACTCTGTTCCAGGACAGCATTGATCCATAACTCAAACTGTTGACTCGGGGAATCTTTACCATGGTTGGGCTCTTGTGGGATCTGGCTGAGCACATTTCAGTAATGTCATTTCTGATCAAGGTAGTTCTCAGTAACAACTTTCAGCATATTACAGGTCAAGGTTAAGAGGGAAAGGGAAATTGCAGAGGGGCGGTGCTCGGAGCGCTCTTTAGGATGCTGAAGAGGGAGGATTTGCTCTGGAATTAAAGGGGTTATTGTGATCCAGAAGAGCAGAAAAAGTAGCTCTTGTGACACCAGAGCAGACTGCAACAACGTGCAGCTGCCTGGAAATGAACCAGCCTTAAATCCATCCGTACTGAACTGATCTCAAACCATCAGCTATTCGGTGCAGCCCATTACGGTTGCCTTGAGGAAACACGCCATGCACTTGGAAAGCAGTTTAACAGAGCCTGGAAAATCTCTCTCAAACCACGACCTGTCTCCCAGCAGAGACAAAACTCACGCAGAAGCTCTCACTCTTTGCTGGTGCAGGTTGGGAGCCGAGCTGCTGTGTCAGGTTGTTACTCACACCCACTCTCAGCTTGAATCCATGGCATCACCTGCTTTCCAAGCTGAGGCCTATGGGAACACGGTGAGTTTGCAGCAATTTGTACAGCTGAGGGGGGGTGGAAGGCAAGACACCAGCTTTGCAAAGCAAAACAGCCATCTGATTTATCAACATGAAACTAGCAGCCTCTGAAATGCTGAAGATGAACTTAGACAGCATCTGCCTGATTCATTATCCTGCACCAAATACAAATTTCCTTCCAGCCAGGCAGAATCAAAACTCCATCATCTCCCAGGCTTCTGTCCATCAGGCTGGAACCACAATTATTTTAAAATATTGGAAGGATGAAACACCTCTGCTTTAGGTGCTGGTTTATTGACTTTATGAAGCTGCCAGGGACTCCCAACTCCCATTAGTGTCAATCTGAGTTGTGGCTGCTCATCACCTTGGAGAAAAACAGCACTCTGGGGAGGCAGCTTTGGCTGCTGGAAGTTTGTGGGAGTTTTGCCACTATCTTCAATGAAGCTGGGACTTCTTCCTAAGAACTCAGCCCTTCAAAAACAGGAAATTGTGCACTGAAAACCAACAGTGTTGCAAGGCAAAGGAATTATAATAGAGTCCTACAATCAGACTGCTTGCCTGCCTCAGAGATATGGTGTTAGGAAATGAATACAGGGTTGTGAAGTAAATTCGGTGATGGATCATTAGGGCTGGTGGGTGCTCCCAAGCAGGTTACTTTCCTTGCCCCATGCTTACAGCTCCATTTTTCCCTATGAAGCTTACCATGCACTTTAGGGTATGCTCACTCCTAAGCCTTCCTGAAATGCTCACTTGTCCATGGACTATCTCCCGGCAGCAGTTCTGGGGCTAATTCCAGCACTCTGAACCCCAATGAGGGAAAGCCAGGCTCCTAGCCCCAACCAGGGCTAATGAGCCCCACCACAACAGCTAAGGGAGACATGAAGTCCTCAGGCTCCTGGGAACTGCAGGAAGTCAGGAATGCCAGCCCCAGCTATAAAGACTAATTGATGACGACAGCACAATTTGGCAATATCCTTTCAAATTCTCCCTGTCAACTCTGGCGGGATTTAGAGAATCCCAAATAACTGAGACCCTGGGCAAAGGGCTCCTTGGGGCTCTCCCCCTCCAGCATCCCTGACCCCATAAGTACATGAGTAGCATTCACCCAGCCAGGCTGAGCTGAGGCATGACAAAGGGGTCATGACATTAATTTGTACCTAATTGAGTCTATTTGAAAAATCTAAAACTCAAGATCCTGCCTTTTGCCTTTAGTTTCCCAACCCAGACCCTCTTGGGCTCCCAAAAAGAAGAAAAAGATGCATCCCAAAGAGCATCCGGCAATGGAAAATTTGGCTGCTCCCAGAGGAACGGCCCCAAAACATCTCAACCCAGCTACAGATACAGAAAGAAAAGGCACTTAAGCACATAAAGGACAGGCAAGAATGAGAATTCAGCTAGGAAGAGACGCTTAACCAAGATACAACCTCTGCCCTCAATATCTTGGTTATTGCCACCTGGCACCCCACAGAGAGCCCCAGCAGCATCTCCAGCACCGATGGGAAAGCTTTACAACAACCCCAGAAGGTTGGATTCAACTCATCACCTCCATTCCATGTTTCTGGTGGACAAAGCTGGGACATGCAGAACATGGGCTACACCGAGGCACATCGCTGCTTCTCCTGCATCATCTCCCATCTAGCTCGCCCCATCCTCCCCAGTGCTCCCTGCTCTTCTCTCCCACAACCCTACAAATGCCTTTTCTTTTTTTTAAGAGCCGCCCCATTGTTCCTGGCAGGATGGGCAGAGCGGCCAGCCGCACAATGCAAGCACCCTTTTCTCAGGATGTACGTTGGTCATCCCAGGGCAGGAAAAATGCTTACGATGGGGGCTTCCTCAGCACGCTGCCTTCCCCTTCCCAGCAGGCTCTCACACCAACCCTGTTTACCAGATCACCATTCTCCCTTGGTACAAACTCACTATGCACAACTGAAATATTGTGTATCGTGCACTGCTCTGCACAAAAAAACGTAAATACTTGAAGTTGCAGAGCTCCATCAGTGTCACCAACCCTCAACCAACGCTGGATGAGAACCCCACCACGTCAAGAGTGCCGTGCCCACCTCACTGATGACAGCAGCCTCCATCCTCACCGACGTAGTTCTGAGGACACCGGTGCAGTAAATGAGAGCAGGAGGCCTTTCATCGCTTGCCAGCCTTTGTCCTTGGGTGCTCGTGAAATCCTCGGGCATCCTGAGCTTGAGGTCAGAGCTGATCTCCATGTGCTTGTCAGCCTTCAGAACAAAGGGCTCTGTCTGTGCAACCCCACGCCTACCCTGGGCTCTGCAGATGACATTAAGGGGACGTATAGGATCGTTAGGACCGCGTGTTTCAGCACAGTGCATTCTGCTGCTAATGGCAGCATCAGCCCCGTGTCACAGACATCCTCCCTGGGGACTCGTACAAATCAAGATTCTTACTCCCTCCCAGACATCAGCGTTCGTCATAAACCCAGATCTGACACAGATTTTCGCATGCTTCAGTCCACTTCCTACAACAGCTTAAGGTAAATCAGAAACCTACAGCCACTGTCCAAAAAAAAATCATAGAACCACAGAATCATTAAGATTGGAAAAGACATCTAAGAGGATCAAGCCCAATCCCAACCCATCCCTGCCATGCCTATTAACCACACTGCTCAGTGCCACAGTTCTATGTCCTTTGAACACCTCCAGGGATGGTGACACAACTAACATTTCCAGACTGCCAGTGCCAGTTCCTGACCACTCTGAGTAGAAGTTTTTCCTAATATCCAACCTGAACTTCCTCCAAAGTTCCCAGCCTACATCTCACAGTGATGCCATTGCACACCCATGTAAATCTGAGACTCCTTGCACTAACCTTGACTAACCTTGACAAACCTTGCACTACTGGTGAGCTTGGCAAAATGCTCTCATTGCTCTTCTCCACCCCTGTCCAGGATGCATTTGTTTTCACCTTAGGATTCATCTTCTTCCCCTCACAACACTGATCCCTAGTTCATCTCAGCATCATCGCTAATAGCGATGGCAACATGAATGTCCTGGCACCCACTGAGTGTTTGGGGTGGGGAATATAAGGAGGAGACAGAAGTTCCTCAAAACTCATTCACTTTATAATTGAGGTGACTTCCATAGGTCTTCACACAAGCTCAGCATCTACATGCAACCTATAGCACAAAGACCTTCCTTCTTCTCACACTGAGCTACAGACCTACCGAGGTGATGGCTCTGCAGAATGCCTCAACCCCTGGGAAAGAATTGGTTAAAAACTACCCAAGCAGTTCGAAATCTTTTTTCCTCTGAGGCCTGAATGAGTCTTTGAGAGGAAAGTGCTTCTCAGCATCCTGACATCTGAATGTGTTGTTAAGGAAGAGGTGTGTATCCCAAGCACGGTAATTCATTTGGGCTTGAAAGCCAGAAGTGGCATTTTGAATGACAATTTGCTTAGGGAGTCCATAAATACACAACGTGATTTATCAGGCCTCAGTTAACATGGGAAACAACCCAAGAGAGGGATATTTTGTAATTGTGGCTTTGCAATGATGCATTTAATATATGGTCTGTCCAATTCAGAAGCTTGAGGAAGAGGAGGTGTTTGGGGGAGGAGTGAGCATATGGCCCAGCAGTGAAACATAAGATAACTGTTTGGGAGCAATTAGCAACTCAACCTGCCATCTGTGGTTACTTTTATTTGATTAAGTGTGTGCAACTGCCTGGTAGAGTTCCCAGAATTCTGGGAGAAAAAGAGGTTGGAGGGATGGTAGAAGCAAACAGGGAAAGCAGTTGATTGTCTCCAGCGTGTTCAAAGCCTGAAGTAAGCTGGAGAAGTCAGCACGACACAGGAGCCCACAGACACGAGTGCATACACCTAATAGGGTGGGAGTGAGCAGCTCAGCAGAGTGCAAGGGGCTCCTCAAATTCCCCTTTGTAAATTGATTTGGAAGCAGAAAAACAGCCACTGAGAGGAAATGATCCACGACAAGAAACCCTGAAAGCAGAGCAGATTCCTGCTTTGTCTTTCTACTGCACTCAGCGATGCTGTACCTGTGATGATCCTGGAGGATCTCTCTGAAGTGTACTATTCTATTTCCCACATCTGACACCAGCCAGCATTGGTGTAGCCACAGGGCTAGGTTGGTCACCAATTCCCAATGATGCCTAGATAGGACCTTCTCCATCCAAGAAGAGTATTTCCTAATTGCATAGCACCTACAATGCTGTAATTCAATAGAAAAGGCAATAATGGCAGCAGAACAGCAAGATCCCAAACTGCAGCAAGCAGGAGTCACTCAAACGTAACTGCCAGGGGCATAGAAATAAAGGAAAGAAGCTGCTTACCTTCAGAAGGCCCCAGGTACACAGGGATCTCCAGCAAGATGCCCTCATCTTCCCTGCCAACCCTTAAATGAGGGCTGGGAAGGGGTGGATCCTGGCTCCAGCCCTTCCATCACTCAGGTTCATTGCACACACCTGAGCTACCCTGACGAGGTCCTCAATCACTGCTTCAAGCTGTGACTTCACATTTTCACTAGACATGCCTTCAAAACTCACCTGAATTTATGCCTTTATGCCCCAGCTAAAAACTCCAAACACGAGGTCCCATATCTATACAGTGAACCTCGCAGTGAGAAATGAAGTTTCCATCCCTTCCTTTGCTTTCTTTTCTCTATGCTGGTGACAGGTTGAAGGCTGAACTACATGACCCTTTGCAACCTTCATGATTCTATGATTCTCTTTATACTCAGGATATGTTTCTGACCTGACCTGACCAGCACAACTGTTTCCCTTGCTTGCAAAGCTGTATTTTTGTCTATTTAATCACCTAAAATCTTTTCTGTCCTTCATTCTTCAGTGCACATGGAGCAGACAGGCTGCAAGAGGTCATAGCAAAGAGGTTGTTTGGAGATTCCATAGGTTACTCTGGCCTTGAGAAGAGATTACCCACATGGCCATCCTTAGTGGTATCTCAGACAAGTGCTGCAACTGCTGGACCTTGGCTAAAGGCAATGAACACAATGGCTTTGCAGGGATCACATCCAAGGTTTGTTGTTTTTTCACAAAGCGCAACAAGAATGTTTTCCAGAAACAACAGAAATCTTTGCAAGGAGAAGAAAACACTTCCAAGCTGTGTCTGGTTGGAGAAAACCTTGCATCTTTATCCAATAGGATGAGATTTAGAAGGGAAACGTAGCCTGGTCTGCAGGAAAGCAAGGCTCAGGCACAGGAGAAATCAAATCGCTACCCACAGAAATGTCAAAAAAAAAAAAAAAAATCCAAAAGGAAGTTTAGGATCCCTCCTTGTGACTCATAACTGCAGCATTATTCGCCAGAAATGATTCAAAATGACGCTGCTATTCCCCACCTCTGGAAGTCCCACTCATCCTGTCTGCCCCAGCAGCAATGCGGAGCAGCACCCGCTCTGCTGGGCCGCCAGCTCTGCCTCGGGGACCCAAAATAACCCAGGGAAAACCTCTGCCAGCTCCACAAGGAGAAAAACAGGGCACCCTTGTTTTTAGTATCCATTCAGCTGCTTAAAAGAGCAGGAAATTTGGGCCATTTGCTTTAACCATTGTATCTTCTGTTATTCATCAATTTTGGAAAACAGCCTCTAAAATTGTTTCCGGCTCCCCTTTTCCCATGTAAATCACTCCAAGGTTTTGTGTTTTTGCTTTAAAAAAAAAAAAAAAAAAAAAACACAAAAAAAGAAAGGCCAAACATTCTGTTGTTCACAGCAATATTTTTCAGTTCATTCTAATTTAGCAACTCCGTTGAGCTCTCCTTTCCCTACAAGCCTGCAAACAGAGGAAGCAGTTCCTGCCTGCGGCTGCACGCAACCAACAAATGCCACAGCTGAATGTTTTTTTCCTGTCCCCTGTTAATGCTCCGTCAGCTCCCTCCAGAAAAGAAGGGGCATTGGTCAGGCTGCATAGCCTTGGATGTCTTCCAAGTGGTGTCTCTGCTTTGGCGAGGATTGGGATGGTGGAGAAGGTCTTTTGTACCCGCAGGGTGATGCTGCGCTTCAGGAAAATGCAGTGCTCAGGTTTGGGGAGAAAAAAATTGGATTTGAAGGGGTTTTTTTGTTTGTTTTTTTTTGTTTTTTTTGTTTTTTTCTGATGTCAAATAACTTCTCCATGTTTTAGGGAAAAGATGTGTAAAGCCTCCATTGAGGTGTTCAAGAACCATGGAGCTGTGGCACTGAAAGGCATGGTTAGTGGGCATGGTTGGTTAAGTTGGGGTTGGGCATCTGAGTGGTCTTTTAAAACCTGAACCATTCTGTGATTCTAAGCTGGGATATGGTCATAACCAGCCATGGCAGCATAGCGTGCTCATGGGATGCCACCTCAGATGCTTCTGGAGACAAGCACAGCCATATAAATCAGGTTTAATGGAGAATCCCTTTGTGCCTACACCAAGTCCCTGCCCAGAGCCTGGAGTAGATACTTCACCCACTGTTTTCCCCAAATCTCAGCATCAGCACTCATGTGGCGGGGCAAAATTATGCTGTTGGTCTTTCAAAACTCCATTAAACTGCACGGCAATTGAGGCTCCTCTTGTCCTTTGCCCAAATACAAGAAGACACCACACAGCTCCAGGATGAAACTGGACCCCCTCTCACCCTTTCCAGGCAATGGAACCCGGAATATCTCATCCAGGATGTGCAGAATCAGTTTTCAGCGCTCACACATGCGTGCGCAGATGGGGACGGGAGGGGGGAAACGCAGCAGAAAGAAATAAATATTCACAGGGCGTTTTTTTTTCCTTCTGGAAATCCCCCACTTGGTCCTGGGTGAGTCAGCCCAAATGGTGACCTTGGAAGTACGATGGGAATGTCGTCGGACGTCAAAGGAGGGAAGGCTTTGCCGCAACGGCACAAAACGTGACTGCAACACGAGCCTCCGACCCAACAGACGGCTGCAAAGCGCTGCAGTGCTGGGAAGCGGGTTGAGTTGGGTGCTCTGTGAGAGTGGGTTTTGGTTTTAGCAGAGTTCTGCAAGATTTCGAAGAAGTTACCCCAACGCCCCCATGCTTTGAAGCCGAGGAACAGCAGCCTGATGATTATTGTTTGGCCACAGAGTGTTTCTCAAAAAAAGAAAAGACAACATTAAATGCTCCGATAAAACGAAACAGTGCTCGTTTTTGGACCAGCTCCACCCGCAGAAACAGATGTGTGAGTGTGCTATTAGTGACTTTATACCATGTCGTGGAAATGCATAGGAAAGGAAGCTCGTGGTTGGGAGAGGAAGGTCGGACGTGGGAAATGTAATTCCTAAACTTGCCATGCATTCAGAGCCCAGGCATTGAAGTAAAGGCCGGTTGGATCGGGGTCTGCTGAGAAGTCAGTGGGCTTGGTGCCTTACAAGCTGCCCTTCTTGTTTTTTAGACTGAAAAATCACCCATTTTCTTGGAAGGGGGAGCAAAAATGGAGAGCCAGGAACATACGGATATAAGGAGAAAATTGCTGTGACTTTTTCCATTACAACGTTCATGAGTATTTCTTCACTTTCCAAGCAGAAAACCCTCAAAATACATCCAAGCCAAGCTTGGGTTATCACAGAGAAATCACACTATGGATGCAGAGGATATCACTCCATGTCACAAGTTCCCTAATGCAAGACCAAGCCCCTTTTCCCACTCTGTTCAAGACCCCACTGACTATAGAGACATTGGCAAAGGCAGAGAAGGAAAATACCACACCACAGCCATTGCAATAGCACCCAGGCCTGCCTTGATGGTTCTGTAGCAGCAATCTGGAGCAGGATTTGCCACCAGGAGGCCAAAGCAAGGCATTTCCCCTGCCTCTTCCCGTGCCTGTCTGTCCATGCATATTCTTTGTTCCCCTCCTGACTTCCCAGGAAAGCACTGCATACTTCAGTGAGATAAGAGCAGAGAGGAGTCCTTGGAACCTCATGCTGACCTCAGCAGCAATGTCTTGCTTACACCTTCTCCTTAAAGGATATTAACATGTTGCTCCTGCCTCTTCTGCTCCAGCTCTGACTTCCATAAGAACCAGAGCCATCAAGGAGCAGATCGGTGCTAACGAATGGGTAAAGGGCAGCTCTGTCTCCTCATGCAGACAAACCTTTCAGCCCACACATGGGCATCTGTGGGATGACAGCCTTCCCATTGCAGGAGAATGTCTTCTGGGATGCAAGCTTGCAAGTAGATAAGATGGTGCCCACAAAAAGCCTGAGACCAAGAAAAACTTCTGCAGCTCGGGGCTGTAAGGAGGGCCCTTCACATTAATGCTGCATGCAGGGGAAGGCATTGGCTTGCATTTTTTAGGTCACAGAGGCAGCAGAGGAAGTCTGGCAGGGCCATGGTGTGGGATGGAGATTGCTCTCCTGGGCGACTCCAGAAAGCAATAAAAAAGACAATAAGGAGAAAGATAATAAAACCCTACAGCTTTTATATTCTCCCCACAAAGGCAGACTTTTCAGGAAGGAATAATGTTTGCCTACAGATTTACCAGCCCCCAGGTGCAGGATGCAAAGGACAGCTGACGTTACTGGCAGCACGGCCATGACCCTGTGAGGAGGTGGCACTGGGTTCAGACAGAGCCCTGGGGACGAGGATGGGACAACACAGAAGCTTAGTCATCCAGCTGATGATAACGAGGCCACACAGCAGAAATAGGTCTGGAAGTCACCTTTCCCTGTAGTGCCCTGATAGGGGGCCAGCTCACACAGCACCTTGCACCAGCAGCCATTCCTTTTTGTCCCTACGGTGAACATCGTCGTGCTGCGTAGGACCCTGCAAAAACAATGCCATATCCTTGGGGCATCCAGCTGGCACGTGAAGATTCAGGGCGAGAAACATCAGCGTTGGCTTCTCCATGGTCTAAGAGTGCCTGCAGTCCTTCTCCTCATCCTTAAGCCTTCAGCTCTTGTAGATGCCTGCAGCACCTGAGGACCTCCATCAGCTCACGCTGAGCGTGGGCAAGCAGAAGAAGTCGCAGTGTCAAAGCAGCAAGGCGCTGTGTTGCCATGCCAAAGGCCATCACTCCCTGCAGGTTGTGTTTGGTCCCACGAGGATGTCACGAGCTGGATTTTCAGGGCTGCTCCACGTGATTCCCTCCCATCCCCACCAGTTTTATATCCTCAGGATTACGAATCTCTAGGAAAGGAGGGACGAACAAATCCCTCCCCAGGAAGTATCCTTAAATGCACCGTGTTACTCTGACAGCTGGCACGGAGGTGACAGCCCCATCAAGACACCGTGATAACAATAACTCCAGCAGCTTCTCTGTCAGCGTGTTGAATTAATACCATTTGAAACAGGCTCAGCTATTGCATCTCCTGGCAGAACCCGCGACAGTCGGTGTAATTTATTGTTTCTGTTGCATGCTCGTTTGTATTCCCAAGCAGCCTTGGGGAGTAATTTCTCAATGAGCAGACAGCAGCTGGGGGAGAAGAGTCGAGCCTGGAGGCTGGGAGCGGGCCGAGGACACGGGGATCTCACTGGGAAGTCTGGGCTGAG